ACCGGTGTCTTACCACAATGAAATTACCGTAACTTATTCTTTCACGGTCCTACCAGTGCAGTAATGCAAGCGTTGTAGCACTTGTAGCCTACTATATTTGTTTATTTTGATGAGAGTCTACTGGAAACAACATAAAATTTGAAAGGGAAGAATTGTTCTGTGATCCATTATCTGTCCTAAAGTGTAAACAACATAAAATTTGCAAGGGAACAACTGTTCTGTGATCAATTACCGTATATGGCCTACAGTGTACAGGTAAGATGCTGCCTGACTGCTAACTCAGTACCGCTTGACACGTTTTTAAAAAGTCGCTTTTCTCTTCGAATACTGGACCAATTGCTTTGAAATTTTCAGTGGTTGAAGATTAATTTTTTCGCTAGAAGGCTATTACTTTTGTTTATTCTTAAATTTTATATGAATCCTATGAGATATGATATTTCATACAAAATTTCGCGGTATTTATTTTTACTCATGGGAACACTGTTTTACACTTATTTCAAGCGGTTTCGCGATCGATTGTCTTGCTCAGTACTACAGCTACTGTAGGTCGGTACTGGTAAGTTGCCATACCGGTGCCGTAACGCAGTGAAATTGACCTATTCCTTCCGCGGTATTACTAATGCTGCAATGCAAGTTTTATAGCCTATCGTATGCGGAACGGAATATCAGACCTACAGGTTCGGTACCGGTACTGGTAGCTCAGTACGTAAGTACGATACTGGTACTGGTGCCGGTACCGGTGTCTTACCACAATGAAATTACCGTAACTTATTCTTTCACGGTCCTACCAGTGCAGTAATGCAAGCGTTGTAGCACTTGTAGCCTACTATATTTGTTTATTTTGATGAGAGTCTACTGGAAACAACATAAAATTTGAAAGGGAAGAATTGTTCTGTGATCAATTATCTGTCCTAAAGTGTAAATAACATTAAATTTGCAAGGGAACAACTGTTCTGTGATCAATTACCGTATATGGCCTACAGTGTACAGGTAAGATGCTGGCTGACTGCTAACCGGTACTGGTAGCTCAGTACGTAAGTACGATACTGGTACTGGTGCCGGTACCGGTGTCTTACCACAATGAGATTACCGTAACTTATTCTTTCACGGTCCTACCAGTGCAGTAATGCAAGCGTTGTAGCACTTGTAGCCTACTATATTTGTTTATTTTGATGAGAGTCTACTGGAAACAACATAAAATTTGAAAGGGAAAAATTGTTCTGTGATCAATTATCTGTCCTAAAGTGTAAACAACATAAAATTTGCAAGGGAACAACTGTTCTGTGATCAATTACCGTATATGGCCTACAGTGTACAGGTAAGATGCTGCCTGACTGCTAACTCAGTACCGCTTGACACGTTTTTAAAAAGTCGCTTTTCTCTTCGAATACTGGACCAATTGCTTTGAAATTTTTAGTGGTTAAAGATAAAAATTTTCTCCAGAAGGCTATTACTTCTTTTTTTGCTATGACGTCATCAAAATTATGTGACTCTACGTGTCCATATATTTGAGCATAGCTCTCTTGTTCATTTAATGTTTATTTAACATTGACCCAAACAATGTTATTAAAATTGTTATTTCTTTGGCTATTTGAGCCGGACTAAAGCGAAATTAAAAAGAATAATTAAAAGCTTGCAAATACATAAATGGTGGCAATTTTTTAAGAACGGAACAATATCAAACACAGAACTATAACCGTAGTAGTATATATTTACGCTATAACTATCGGGCCAAACGACATTGGAAAGAATAAAGGACAATTAGCCAAAAGAGACAAGGACCGAAAAGCTCAATTAAAGGGTTGTCCTTTGGAATAAAGGACGGTTGGCAACCCTACCTACGCTCTGCACATAAATTAGCGATCATATCTAGCGATATAACTTTGAACCCAAAATGGCGGGAGTGACGTCACACAAGCGCTTATAACGTTACCAATGGTTGTCCTCACTTGTGTTATAGTCACTTTGCTCCACACCAACTATAGAATGACTATCTAACGGTTTCTAACCAGACTGTGTTGGTCCCATGCAAAACGTGGCAGATGATAACTTTGTGTCTTTTCCACGTCCCGGAACCAATTAAAGCACTTGTAAGACTCAATCAAAAAAGCAAATAAGATAAACGCAGTCCCCTTGGAAATACCTGTGGTCTATATTGCCGTTGGCATAAAAATGCAGTCAAATATTTAAATTCTAACACAAAGTATACATACTACATATCCCAACTACATGAATAACAAACAGGTACGGATTTTTTAAAGGCTTTATATCATTAACATGAAAGTCACATATACTACTGATGCATTTCAAGTGCGACAGTGTAAACTTTCCAATGAAAATCGGAGGCTTTATATTACTCTGGCCGCGAGATGGCGCTTCCCAGAAGTCCCTGATACAATCCAAAAAAAGTGAAATTTTGCTGACGAGGGCTTGCAATGGACAGAAATATTTTCATGAGGCGTTCAAGGAGCAAGCGCTATTGAACCGCATGCCGTTATTCTGAATTGAACACTTCATTTTTCTCATTACTTTGGGGCCATGTTCGCTATCTAATTGAATTACGCGACGTTTTTCGCATACTTCGCATCAGCAGAGTATACTAGACTAACTAGAGAATTAAAACTTCCATATCAAGCTTCTGTAAAGGACGAAAAATAACGAAATAAAAAAAAAAAAAAAAATACTTTTGCGCGGTCGACGGGAATAAAGCCTGCGCGAACATTTTCTGCAAATTTTCGATGAATTGACTTACATTTTCAATTTTTTGTTAAGGTTAAATTCCTATTTGTATTTATTTATAAATACCGTTTTAGCCCCCTGCGCCGGAAAGGCCAGGTTTACTGGGGTACATGTTAATTCAAATAAAAGTGCATAAAACGCTGTAGGTAATTAATATTTGAATATTGTTTTTTGTGCAAAATCGAAAATTCAAAGTTAGGTGTAAAACATCAATACATATGTATAGACATGTAAAACTGCTGGTAAACTGATAAACAATGTTTTACTTCAAGTGCAAGAAAAAACCTCAAACGAAGTAATTTTGACTTAAATAAAAATACAACTTGACTCTACTTCATTAAATTGAATCAATTTGTGAAATTCATCGTCCTGAAGCTGAGTAGTGATGTGCATGGGTGTGGTTAAATAAAAAAATAATAAAAAGTATTCTATATTTGGCAATTCCACATTCTTGTACATGCTTTCCTTGCGGATGGCGCGTCTGGTGTTGATTCAAAAACTATAGTTGGCGACAAGGTTACGAATCACTGCTCCAAAGCTATTTTCCCCAAACTTATTTCTCTCAAATAGCATTGGGAAAAAATTGAATTTATTTTGCGCACAATATCTCAATATGCATATACACCCAATAGAGGTACATAAGGAGCCAACCAAATATGCATATTGGGTTAGGTTAGTTAACAATCTTAGTGATGAAACGTAAAAGTTGGATTTTCGTTCCACAGTCGTCGAGTGACGATAATCGGACATATGATATTCTCTCTCTCTCTCTCTCTCTCTCTCTCTCTCTCTCTATATATATATATATATCTCTCTGTGTTAGACAGAGAATATGCGCATGAACTCTCGATGACAATATGCTGGTCAATGAAGACAGCCGGGATGGCTTAAATGTAGGCCTATATAGTAAAATCGGAACCTGTAAAGTTACAGGAGGCGTCCCGCTTTGAAGTCCTACCCTCCACGGAAGAAAATCCTTATTTTAACGAGTCATCTTTCATTTGAATAATTCATAAACTAAGGAAGCCTTAGGGATTTTAGTAAACGGGTTTTAACTATTAGCCACAGCGTAACCATCCACATGGATACCGATGAGCCGCACAGCGCTCAAATGAACTGGCAGTTCTAGTACAATTTTCTCGGTACAATGGCGTATTACCAGGCCTGTCCATGCGACATATTTTCCTGTCCCGTTCCCATCCCATAGCAATTATGCCTGTCCCATCCCATCCCATGGGATTCCCATTGGGAATAAAATTCAATAAAAATTGTTAAATTTAGGTTTAGCGTCTACTAAATAGGACTACATGCACGAAGAGACATGCAAAACAACAAAATTGATGGACTTTGTTAACTTTATTATATTCATAACTATTATACATGTGTCCATCAGCCCATACAAGAAGTATATTGTTAATGCTGAATATATTTTGCTCTTTATACCTAACAAGATAGCTGTGCTCAAATATATGGACACGGAGTCTATACCAAATTGTTTTACCAACATTTCCTCAAAAAATATACGGTTTTCGTGTCCCACGGGTCCTATGGGAAATACAAATGTGTGCTGTGCCATCCCATCCAATTGGACGTTTTCCATGAGATTCCCATGGACAAGCCTGCGTATTACCGTTTAGTAACCTGAGATTCATACTGGGCGCCTACCGGCTTGTTTGAGATTAGAAACCTGTTTTACTTACTGCTTGTTATATTTTATACATATTACAATTACTCTTGAATTTTCTATTCCTATTTCATTATTCTTATCTAATTGTTACGGTAGCCAAAGTCCAACTTAGTTCAATAGCTCCGCAAATAGTCTATGACTGCAATGCATTTATACGCGCTCCCAAAACCTGTTTTGCTGTCTATGATACACTGGAAATATGCAGCTCTGATATTGTTGTTTGAAATGATATTTTAATCCAAGTAAATCCACAGTTAAACAGAGTATTCAGTTATTAAATGTAATCCAATAAAGCAACTATACAGGAATTGATTGCGGTAAATGACAATTGTGTCTATCCAACCAATAGTTCTACGATAAACAGATAAAGTAGATGAGCAAATTTACTATGTGCGCTCCCGGTTTCAGGTTCTTGCCGAAGAGGCCTTACGGTAACTAAGAATACACATCAGTGAACCACTGCCCACTAGCGGTAAAACACAGGAGCTAACTTTGAAAGGGGGTACACACAATACGAAACTAACTATTGGCCCAGTAACATGGCTCCCCAAAAAAGGGTTCTTTGTTGGCAAAGAAAACTTTTTAAAACGAAACATATGTACAGTACAAAAAGTAATAAAACTAAGATGTTGGCTCCTCGTCCAGGGAATCGCCATCTTTGGCTGCACGAACCAACAACACAAGTTTATGTATCGGTCTGTCGAGGTATGTCACCGCTTTTGTTCGTTTGCCTCTGGAATCAAGATTACAATCGGCAACAAGAACTCTAACTTTTCGAATGAGGCCATCCTCAGACGGATACAAGGCATCAACTCTGGCAAGTTGCCATTCATTTCTTGGGGCATTCTCATCGTTCACTATGACAATATCTCCAACACATAAATTCAGTTCAATTTTAGTCCATTTCCCTCTTGGTTGTAGTGTTTGTAGATACTCCAATCTCCATCGATACCAAAATTGGTTCACAATGTACTGGACTCGTCTCCATCGACGTCTTGCATATACATCAGGTCTTTGAAATTGTCCAGGTGGAGGCAGAAGAACCTTTGGCTTCATCGTCAAAAGATGATTTGGTGTTAATGGCTCGGGTGAACCCACATCACCTAAATTAGAAACTGTAAGTGGCTTAGAATTAACCAAATGTTCAGCCTCCACAAGTACAGTACGAAAACTTTCATCATCAAGCTGTGAACCGAACTTCTGCATAATTGGCTCCAGAGCATTTCGAACTGTCCTCTTTTGACGTTCACAACTTCCATGCATATGACTACATTTTGGAACATTAAACTTCGATTCGAACCAATCACACTCATTAGACAATAAATATTCTCTGACCTTGCATTGATCTATCTCACCAATAGCTTTTAGTAATTCGTTTCTTCCTGCAATAAAATTTGTTCCACAATCTGCTCTCAACTGCTTAATTGTTCCTCGTCTTGCTAGGAATCTCCTCAAGGCATTGAGAAATGAATCTGTATCTAATGAATTTGCAGACTCTAAATGAACTGCTCTGGAAGATAAACAAGTGAATATTATACCATATCTCTTAAAAATAGATCTACGCTCCTTTATTTCAAAAGGGCCGAAAATATCAACAGCTGAATAATCAAACAAGGCTGCTTCATTCACACGATCCTCTGGAAGATCGCTCATCCTTTGAACCTCAAGAGGTCTTCGGATACGTCTGCATGCAACACATGAAGTTATAAATTGTGACACAGCTGAGGTGCCTCCAACAATCCAATACTCATTTTGACGTATCTCATTCAGTGTCATTCCGCGTCCCATATGATGAACTTTCATATGAAAATGACGAATAATCAAATTAGTAACATGAGAATGTCTTGGCAAAAGCAATGGATGCTTATAATCCATGGGCATATTTGCTCTCCCTACCACCTACACGAATTAGTCCATCTTCATCGATATATGGATCCAATTTGTAAATTGAACTTCGTCTAAGTTTGTTTCGAATTTTAATTTTGGCTCGATCCAAAATTGCACCAGAAACTGCACAACTTTGCAGCTGCTCTATTTCCTCTGAAAAATGAATTTGCTGTAAACATCTGATAATTACTTTCTCTGAAATCGACAAATTTTCGACTCCCAAATTATTCGCACAATCAACTTTTCTCAGCTTGTGACAAAATCGAATACAGTTGGCCACAGCTCGCTTGGCTTTGAACCAAGAAGAAAATATGTCCAGTCTATCAATATCAAAATTATACCCAACAGTATTTTCTTTTTCAACTGTTATGAACGCTGTTGCCTTTTTCATTTCATGTTTCAACAAGGCATCTGTTTTATTATTTGGTACATAGGAAACTTCTGGTGGTTCATAAGCTCCTTTACATTGCAAAAACTCAGGACCATTCCACCATTTTGAATCAGCAATTAACTTTTTTACTGATATACCACGACTTGCCAAATCACTTGGGTTTTGATTAGATTCAACATGTAACCATGTACTAACATCAGACACATCAAGAATTTGTTGTATCCTATTTGCAACAAATACATGAAATCTTTTCACTGGATTGTTCACATAACCCAGCACCACCATACTATCAACCCAAAAATATTCCTTAATATTTTCATACCTTAGTTCTTCCCGTAAATATCTGCTCATTCGTGCAGAAATTGTAGCTGCTGTCAATTCCATCCTTGGAATGGAAATTTGCTTCAACGGAGCAACACGAGATTTCCCCATGAGCAAGGTGCAGTGTGAATCTCCATTTTCATTCACCAATCTGACATATGAACATTGACCATAACCAGACTGACATGCATCTGAGAAATGATGCATTTCAACAACTTTCACTACTCCAAAATTTGGTGGTTTGATGCATCTGCTATTGTTAAATTATCAATGCCATGTAAGTCGTCAATCCATGCATTGACTCTTGGTTGTACATTCTCTGGATAGGATCATCCCAATCAATTTTGCTTTTACAAAGTTCCTGCAAAATTTTCTTACCTTCCAATATCACAGGTGACAGAAATCCCATTGGATCAAATATAGAACTCACAATTGATAGAAATCCTCTTCTGGTTCGTGGTTGATTTTTCAATTGCAAATGATAGCGAAAAACATCATCATTCACATCCCACAGCATACCTAGAACTCTCTCAATTGGAAGTGGATCATTATTCAAATCAATTGTTTTTACACTACTAGCCCGATCACATTCAGGAATAGATTCTAGGACTTCTCTCCGATTCGACACAAATTTATGCAACTTTAGACCTGCTTTGGCACACAGAGAAGTACTATTTTTAATGAGCAACTTAGCTTCATTAACAGTTTCGAGAGACTGTAAACCATCATCCACATAAAAATTATCTCTCACAAAATCAGCTGCTTCTATCCAAATGCCTTTTCACCATCATCTCCAGCTAATTTCAATCCATACATTGCAACACCTGGGCTACTACGAGCACCAAATGGATGTCGAGTCATTCTATACTCAGTTAATTCTGATTCGGGTGTTACCATTATTCCACCAAAAGAATCTCAAAATCTCTGTCTTGTTTTCGACAACAAACTGATGGAACATACCTTTATGTCTCCATTACAGCAATTTCCTCTTTCCGAAATCGGCACAAAATTCCTGTCATTCCACTCATAAGATCTGGTCCAGTGAGCAAATGATCATTAATGCATTCTCCTTTATACAAAGCACTCAAATCGAAAACAACTCTGATGGTTTTCTTCTTACTATGAAAAACAGCAGTATGTGGCACATAATTAACTTTTCCATCACTAACAACAAGTCTATTTTCTGGCACCCTTTCAGCATAATTTTTTATATATCTTCCATGAATTCAACATATTTACTTTTATACTCTGAATCCTTTTCAAATCGTTTTTTCAATTGCATTACTCGTTTCAATACCATGTGCTTGTTATTCGGTAATTTAACTTGGTCACATTTCAATGGTAAAGGCATTTCATACATTCCATTGTCCCATTTAATAACATTTTCAGAAAGTATTTTCACAAACCTTTGATCCTCAATTGACATATTTTCATGCTTACTTTTGTGATCAACAAAATCTATTTCCATCATCTGATTGAGCTGTTGAGGACAATTTCTTTTACTTTTGTGGAAAATACAAATGATGATTTACCATTGCTCTCTAACAGATTTTCCGCTGTGGAACAATCTTGTGTCACTTCGACACGATGAGATATTGAACTTTTGTCATCACCATATGGATCATTTTCCCGTCCATGAATTATGTCACGAGGCCTTACCGCACTAGGAATGTTACTACCAATGAGAATACTGACCTTCAATTTTGAATCATAAGGCATAAGTTTGTCTGCAATTTTCTCCAAATGTTTCCACTGTTTGGCAACTTCAGGTTTTGGAATTTGTGAAGGGCTTGCAGGTACTTGCTCACGAGTATAAGCTTGTGGAATATCCATCTTTACTTGACGATCCATACTCATCACTTGTAGTCCTCTGATTCTCTGCGAAGACACCAACGCTCCAGATTTCATCATCGTAGAGAAATTTAACTGTGTCTGTACACCTTTCACATCAAGTTGCTTTTGCAATTCCTCAGAAACAAAACAACAATTAGATTGATCATCTAATATGCAGTAGCACTGGATTTCCTTAGATGGATTTTTACTATTTCTCACAAATACTGGAACAATCATAGAATTATGTTTGCCACCACTTTGACCTTCTATGGTGCAAACTTGAGTACATTTAGAATCACTTTTATCAAGAGTTTTATCCTCATGGAGGGCAGTCAAATGTAACCTATTGCAAATCTTACATGTAACCCTCTGCTTACAAAAATTAACCCTGTGACCTCTATTAGAACCACATCCGTAACACAGTCTCTCTTTCAGAAAAAAGGTCTTCTTGTCCTTTATTGACAATTTACCAAATTCATCACAATCATCTATATGATGACAAACACTACAGAATGGGCATTTGTTCGCATTCATATTTCTACTTTATGAGCATATGCTCTCGCATTCTGTGCACTTCTATAACTGGAAAAAGACTTACTTTTCTTTTCCCTGTCATCATATGACTTCACATATTCACGATTTTGTTCATATGTTCAAGCTCAGGAATATTCTCCTTTTCTGACGCTTCATTTACAAATTTAACAATTTCATCAAAAGGTGGATAGCTATTTTTTCCATATTTTGATCTCCAATTTTTAACAGTACCACGCCAAGCATCTTGCAAATAGGTTGGTAAACGTTCAATTACTTTTACACTTTCAACAGAAAAATCAAGTACCTCCAGATCTTTGATCTTATGTTTTGCAACTTTGACTTGGTCAAGGAAATCACCATATCTCTGAATTCCAGCAGCATCACGAAATCTAATTCTTGGCCATGATGCCAATTTGTCAAGAAATGCTTTACATATGACACTTTCATTGCCATATCTTGACTTCAATTTTTCCTTTGCTTCTGCATACGCAGTATCAGACTGTAACAACACAAGATCTTGAATCATTGTTTTAGGATCCCCTGATAAATGTTGACTGAGTAAATTAAGTTTTTGGCGTACATTGGTAGTTTTAGCTTCAATAAGAGCATCAAAATCAGATTCCCAGGCAGGAAATTTTAATGGATTACCATCAAAAATATCAACTTTAATGTGGCAAAGCATATGCATTGGCTAGCATACTATTTGATATTGCCAACTCTCTCAAACATGCACTTAAATCATTATTTAAATGAGAAACATATTCATGTTAACTTCAGAGAAACAAATGTAGTGTACGCACCTGATGGAGAATGCTGAAAAGCATTTGCATGTTGTGAATTCATACCTGAATTAATATTCTCACATACAATATCATTTGAGTTATCTTCTCCATGAATTGTTTCAAACTATGATCCCAATCTGATTTCAAGATCTGTGATTGTTGACTACTTGAATTTGCAATAAAATCTTCTTCATTCAACCCGAAAGGATTTTCAACTTGCTGGACCTTCTTGCAAACTTGTGCTCTTGCTTCTTCGACTCGAGTTCTTCTTGTGCAATGCAATTCCAACTGGCTTTGCTGCTTAACTTACTGACTTATGCATTTGAAGTTGACTTTCATCAGCCAAAATCTTCATTTTCTTTGATATTCCAGCTGTAGTGCCTGAAGATTGAGCAACTTCTCTCTTCCACGGATTTTACTTTAACTTCGAGTTCCCCAACATCCTTCTGTAAATCATACCATTCTTGCTTACTGTCAAGAGCAATCTTTTCTGATTTACGACTAACATTACTAGATGCAGATGTCCGATATGTGGAGCTTCTGGATGAACTTTCATCTCTCTTTCCATGAGATTATCAACAGTTTCTTCAGCAATCCTAGTCGCATCTTTCACTCTGTCCACTTGTTTGAATACCCCGAAACAAAGATGTCCTCTCCTTTCTTGACACCATCTCTTCAAGCGCTGACCACATCTCCATTAATTCCCGTGAAGATGCACGCATTGCAGATGATGCTCTTAGGATATGGCTAACATGCTTTGCTGTTTCGCATAGTTTCACAAGCTTCTGACAAAGTTTAGATACGCTTTGCCTCTGTTGATCAAACTCTTGTTTCCTATTTTCCACAACTTTCGATGACGGTCTGATCTTTCTCTTTGTAATGTTTACAATATCACCATGTTCCATGGATGCTGGCTCAGAAGTTACATGTTTACCTTTTGCAAACCTTTTTCGCGCAGATTTCATCATGAAATAAATCTGTTTACACTGTCACCCAAACGGAAAGCAACACTGTTGCCAGTCAGTTACTGTAAACTCCTGGAAGTTAAATGACCAGGGAAACTCTTCAGCTTTTATCAGTGCTGTCACCACTGATAAGTGATAATCTACTTTTTCCTTTCACAACAGTACTCAGGCCTCCAAGCTGGAACTTCCACTCTTCTAAAGGCCGATAGACTTTGTCATTTACTATTACGCCTTTCTACTAAAGGCTGGAAGATATGTTGTCAATTACTTCCACTCTTCTTAATACAACCAAATACTCCAAAGGCTGATAGACTTTGTCATTTACTGTTACGCCTTTCTACTAAAGGCTGGAAGATATGTGTCAATTACTTCCACTCTCTTATACAACCAAATACTCCACAAGGTGATAGACTTTGTCATTACTGTTACGGTAGCCAAAGTCCAACTTAGTTCAATAGCCCCGCAAATAGTCTATGACTGCAATGCATTTATACGCGCCTCCCAAACCTGTCTTGTGTCTACTGATACACTGGAAATATGCAGCTCTGATATTGTTGTTTGAAATGATATTTTAATCCAAGTGAATCCACAGTTAAACAGAATATCCAGTTATTAAATGTAATCCAATTAAAGCAACTATACAGGAATTTGACTCTGCGGTAAATGACATTTGTGTCTATCCAACCAAATAGTTCTACGATAACAGATAAAGTAGATGAAGCAAATTTACTATGTGCGCTCCCGGTTCAGGTTCTTTGTCGAAGAGGCCTTACGGTAACTAAGAATACACATCAGTGAACCACTGCCCACTAGCGGTAATACACAGGAGCTAACTTTGAAAGGGGGTACACACAATACGAAAACTAACTATTGGCCCCAGTAACACCAGGGAAAAATTGAAATTTCCATGACGAAAGAGATAAAACATATGACCTCATAAATGATGGCACGATCCAGAATGCTATGCCAGCCAATGCAGACCTCTTGAAATATGTGCAACAAGCTGGCGCACAACCTCAGGTTAGGGTTCAGGTTGTGCGACATCTTGGTGCGCATACTTCAGGAGTACCCAAAACTTGATGAGAGAAACGTAATAATATATTAGGCCGCGAGCCGAGGCCATTTATCTTTCAGTTTCGTAGCGCACATCAGGTAACTACCTGAAAATGATTTTAAAATGTTCCTTAGAAATTTATTAACAAATATTGCCTTGTTCCCACTTCCAAAAGTTGCACGTTTTACAGAAAAGACGCTTTTACTACAATAAATATGTGTTACCATCTGTCCTATTTTCTCTGCTTTTCCGGTATCATGGGCCAATGAACGCAGACTTCTGCACGACGTAACAGTCAAGTTAGCCAGCTGTAGGTGGATCCCCAGTGGTCGGATGAATATCAGATGTACTCAACTGCTCGCTTTTGCCAATGACATTAAACAACATGATAGGCAACTCTGACGTCACTCCATAAGACTACATGCGAAAGATTGTATTTCATGATACGCTCCAATGCACATATTTCTTCGTCGCCTTTCGCGACGGTTTTTCCGCTTGCTTTTGCTACTCGGCGTCTTCTTACGTGTTAGTACCTGCCTTTTTGCGCCTGTAACGAAAGAAAATAATCTCTATATCTGAGAAGTTTTGCTCATTTGGAAAGCTGGAATGGCAGACAAGCTGTAAAGAGTAATTCTGAACATCATAGACGTTTTTTTTATTAGAGAATATTACAAACGCGATAGCGTAAAGATTTGTGTAAAAACATTTTGCAGATAATGAACAAGTTCAAAGTTAGTAATTTTAATGTTTGCGCTTAAACATTGAAATTTCATTTTAAAGAGGGTGTCACACAAAACAGCAAAACTGTTTTTACTTCTCTTAAAAGGTGCTGGTGATACAATTCCATAACACAAAGTTTTGCAGCCTATCTGAACTTGTTTTAGTAAGGATGAACTTTAATTAACTATATTTACATATTCAGTTAATCGTAGGTAACATTACTGGTCACATAATGCCTCGTAGATAGGTTTGTGTCTAAATTAGGAATTTAGCTCATAGCCCGCTAATTAATATTTCTTCTATGCAGGAGATTTGCAGGGCTGATTCAACTTGCAGCCTTACCAATCACTGACGATGCTCATTTAGTTTGTCTCGAGAAAGTCTTCTTGAAAGACTTGTGTGAATGGAAACTACCTGTATGTTTTGCCTTCCTCGATTTTAGAAAGACAATTCAATCTGAGGAATTTTGCATATAATTCTCATTGATTGTTGGCTGTTTATAATTCCTATTAAATGTGAATTCTGATTATATCAAAGAGTTTAAACATTTTTTACGTAATTTACGGGCACTTTTTCTGTCAATACTCCAAGCTGAGGTAATAAGCAAGACAATACATTCATGTCATCTGCAAGCAAAATATACACACTAATTAAAAGTTTGACACATTGAGATAATACATCATGACAGAAAATTACAAAGATACAGTATGTATGGCCATTCACATGGTAATTAAAATTAAAAAAAAATTAATAGAGGCTGTGGAGTATGAAAAGTTCAAGAAAAAGAAAAGAACAAAAGTGCATAGCTCATGAAACTCTTCAATTCTGCCTCCATTGCTTTGTGAAGGCCAATATATTCCGAGTGGCTGAATTGGTTTACCTTTATGATAGCAACGGTTTTGTTATTTAATATAGCGAGATTTTTTTCAATTTAAATTGAAGTGATATTATTTCCCAAAGCAATGCTTGAATCGTCTAGAATAGATCAGTTGGTGTCAAACTCATGGGTTTCGAGAGCCGCATTGCATGTTGGAAATTGTAAAAAGGGCCGCAAACAGTTTTTGATAATGTATACTCGAGAGATATTTTTCAGATAGTTTTAGTTTGTGACATATATTGTGATGCAACTAATCAGTTGGATTAAGTTTTATTATTTTCTTTAATTTTCAAATGGCAATTACATATTAATATTTGCATTCCACTATTATTGCAAGTTACTGTATTTATTACAAAAAATCATAAAATTCCATGTACAACCAATCAAAATCATTTTTGAACAAGCCTTGGTTAAGAAAGAATAATATATACACTAAAATGACTTAATCTAAATATATGAACCTAAAATTAACAAAAAATACTACAGTATAAACTCAATGTTTTTTTAATTACATTTGTCCTGACGTTTGGCATCTTTTTTGTGTCACCAGCATACTAAGGCCAGGCTGAAATGATTTTATAGTACAACTCTAACTAACGAGGTGCATGATCATGGGTTAATTCTTGTTATCTTTGCAAAAGTTTAATTAATTCCAGTAATGCAAAAAGTTACTTTTATCATTTCATGTATAGATCAGTAAAAAAACAAATGACAGATTTTTTCGACAAGACATTTCACGCTACATTGCATGGCATTGGATTGCTTGAATTATTATTGATATTGATTTTTAGTAACTAAGTCGTTGCATATTTATATTAATATACAAACACATGAAAATTTTCTGTTCGGAGTTGGTCTTCGAATTTGTCATATTGACTGCTGAGCTTATTGTGTTTTTCATTGTACTGATGGAAATATGACAAATTAAACAATGTGCTTCAGAATTTTGTGAAATGCAGAAATATTGCAACTCCCATTTTCTTTGAAAATGCCACCTTCTTCGTGTACTTTAATTTAATCACTCAAGTGTTTTATTCAGTATTCTTTTGCTAGCTTGATGTGTATTCTTAATTGAGTCAAAATGTGAACAAAAAAAATGACCTTTCTAAAACTACTTTCAGTAAATTGTTTTCTGTGTGAATATTCAATTTCACTTTAAAAGGTTTGAAAAATCTTTTACATTTAAATAAAAAAAATTCCAAAATACTATTACAATTATTGTTAAGCGTTCGAGGGCCGCACTGGAAGTTCTCTGGGGCCGCGAGTTTGACATCCCTGGTCTAGATTGAAGTTGTCCAAAATATATAACATTATTTTATCATGAATCCTGATTATACCCTTTTCTGAATTTCTTCTATAGTACTACCAAAATTTGATGAACCAAATATAACACAGGTGTAGTCAGTGAACCGTAATCCTCATTTTTCAAAGCTGTTTAAAGTATGTCTA